ATTGTCAGAACCAAGAGGGGTTCTAAGGCTTTGTTGATGGAAAGTAATGTGTTTCTGTCTCTCTTTAGCTTTGTGTGATATTGTTAGGGTCTGTTAAGTAATATTTATAGTATATAAAGGCCAAAAATATATGAAATATTTGTATTCTTCTATTCGAAAATGTTTTTTTTCTCTTAATTTTTGTTGTTTTAATAATCTATGGGAAAGAGTCCAGTATTCCCTAGCCTATTTTTTTTAAAAGGATGTGATCACTTATTTAATTGCAGAATTTCTAATACACAATGATTAACCCCACTTTTTGTTAAACCAAACCCAAGTTTTTGCATATTGATGCAATAACCAACAAGCTGGTTTTTTTTATAATTGGTAAGAATGTTGGGTGCACCTGAACATTGAGAAGGACCACTATTTTTAACTACTCACTGAAGAGTAGCTTTCGAAAGATCAAAGTCTTTAGCCAAGCTATTAATACTTGGAGGCTTGGACTTAGTAGGGTAGTCATCTAATTTTTTAAGTGCAGCATGAATTTTTTTATCTTTTTCAATATAAGCTAGTTGCATATTTATCTTAATACTTTCAAATAATAATAGGATGAAAATTAAAAACTAATATACAAATTTAAATTATCAAACATGTAAAAATTTGCTAGATATTTATTATTACAAGCAGATGTTGTAGTAATATTTTTATTTATTTTTGTTATATGAAACCGTTCGCATACTAAAATTGGCCTTTATATTTTGTGATGCAATTTAGAATAGAACACATATAGTATTCACATATATTATAGCTAAGAATATTATGATGAATTGATGTATTTTGTGATCTTGTAATTGGATCTGAATAATTTTTACATCATTCAAATCCTCTCTTTGAGAGGATTTGAATGATATAAAAATTATTTAGATCTGATTACAGGATCGTGAGATATAGTTAATTCTTTTTAATTCGTCAAATTATCTCTATTCATCAAATTACCTCTTTTTTTTTTTTTTTTTTTTTTTCTAAGCAGTCATGTTACAACTTTATTATTTAAAATAGAGTATATACAGGTTTTACCCCCATGCTTTCTATCTACAGCTAAGCTGTTTTATACTAAAGTGTGGCTCACCAGTTACTAAAAAGCACTTATATGCAACTTGCCAGAGTAAAATCAGCCTTCTTGCTTCTTTTTAATCTATCTCAGATTAGAAATCCACAATTTACTAGCTGGAATTTACTAGCCCATCATGATCACCTCTTTTCTTTTAATTTTTTCTACCTAGATCTTGGCAGAAAGACTAAATCATAATCTATTTATGATGAAAAAAATAATAAAAAAAAATATATAGAAAGAGTATAAGGGGGGAAGAAAATAAAGAGAAGAAAAAAAAGAAGAGAAAGAGTATACTAAACAAAAAGATAAAAATAGAAAAAACAAAAAAAAAGAAGTTATAGTCATGACATATATATAAAGAAGGTGCACTATTATGACTTGTGCAAGGGTAAAAAAATTATATACTAATTGTAACATTTAATATATCTCTATTGTAAAGCTTCGCCTTAACATTAATATTTTCTTTTTATGGGATTTTTTACAATATAGTTTGTGATTAGTAGAAGCTATTGAGCCAACTTTATTAATCTACAGTATGCTACAGTATTATGATTACTATTGGGGTTTTAATATTATATATTAATATATGAGGGTGAGTTAATAGAAATCAAGCAAATTTTTTATAATAAAAATTTTTTATAACTTTAAACAAGAATAACTGGACAAAAACTTGACCAAATTAAATAAAAATTTTTTTAAATAATTCTTACAAACTTGTAGAATTAATTTAAAATAATTTTATTGAATTTGATCAAGTTTTTGTTAAGTTATTCTTGTTTAAAATTTTAAAAAAAAACTTATTAAAAATATTTGCTTGGTTTCTATTAACTCAACCTCATATGCTAATTGATTTTTTATAAATTATACTACCAGTTTTTAAATTGTAGTAATAGCCTATATTTTCTTTATCATCAGAACAAGTAAAATTACTGGCAATTATTTATTTGTGCTATTACCATATTAGCATTGTCTATATCCTCTTTATTATTATTATACGAGTCTAATTTATCTAGTATTTCTTCTTCAGAATCACTAAAATTATTGTTATCATCTGACTTAACTTTATTAGATTCTCCTTCTTTTTCTTTTAAATACATATCAAATTATATATTATTATAGTCATTTGCCTTAGCTTTCATTATCGAAGTATTTGATAATATTTTAATTTTATCAATATCATTTATATTATTACTATTTACTTTATTAAAATAGTTTTATCAAATCACACCTCTTTCTTGAAATTATCAAAAAAATTAGAGATATGTGTTAATAGGATAGATGTAGTTAATTCTTTTAAAAGAAAGATCTCCAATACATTAATCTAATTGTTATATATTTTGTTTTTTATTCTTGGAATCATTAGTAAATTCTATATCAGGATTTTTGATAAAGTGGTTTATGACTCTTTGAATTTGAGAATTAGAAAATTTTGAAATAATATCTGCACTATACATTTTGATATAATAAATCAAGTCTTCACCAATTTTATCAAACAAATTATCGATTCTTAAAGCTCTCTGTGTTTGCCTACATATGGTTTTACACTTGGTATTAAGAAGATATTTAATAATATAATTATATACTTGCCTTTTCACCTTTTTCTCTCCAACTTTATTGCTGATTATATATTCTTTATACATATTTTTGAATTCTCTTATATAAAAATACCAATATAATATTTTCTCTATATTAATCTTGATTGTATCTCTTTTAGCTTCATATATATGTTAATAAAAACTAATAATATCCTGTTTTAGCAGATTATTATTTGCTAAAATTCTTTTAACTTGGCACCTATTTATGTATTTTTCATTTTTTTCTCTAGATAAAATTATTTCTCAAATCAACTTCTATTTACTTTTTTACTAAGAAGTCTCTACTTTTATATCTATCTTCTATATATATGAAAAAAGTGGAGCTGATTTACACAGTTGTTTTGGATCTTCTTTAGAATAACTGGGCAATATAAAAATATTATAAGATTATAATATAAAAAAACACAAACCCTAAC